CTGCGGGGCAGCGCGCACGACATGTGCGCGGCCCCATGACGACTGTCATCATGTGCCTGCTGGAAGCGGGTTGGAAGCCGATTTCTCCGACGGAATGGGAAGTGCCACATGATGGATCTTCGTCGACGCATTCGTGGATGTTTCACGGGAGCGATTTCGAGGCTCTGGATCAGGCAGAGCCCCTTCTGGACGAGCTTCAGCGGACAAGGGAGCTGCAGCAGTGGCGGACAGCAGCCACACACTTCTGCAGCGACGGAGTCGCTGATTGAGTGGACATGGTTTCACTGCAGGCCATGATTTCCGAGTTGCAGGAGTTAAAAAAGGTAGGCAGTTCTCGGAGCTGCTAGTTTCTATTGCCACAGGAGGTTTCTGGACGCGTGAGAGGAGCTTCCAGGCAAACCTATGCAGCTCTTCAGTTTGCCTTCGGTGCGGGCAAGGTCCAGAGACTGCCTTGCGCAGGTGCTGGACTTGCGAGGCGAACGCCAGCTCTGCGTCCAATGCCTGCGATGATTCGAATGATATCGTCACTCAGGCTGTGTCGGAGTCAGAGGCGTTCCCGTGTTTTTGGAAGCGGGGCCTCATCCCTTCCCCCTGGACCTCCGTCCCTCCTCCCGCCCCCGAAGAGGCCATCGTCGGAGGCAACTGGCTCGGGGGCTCTTTGGAGGAGGGGTGTCTGGGGGCTGGCACCTCGAGGGAGCCCCTGGTCCTGTTTGGGGACGCGTCGGGGGGGGAAAGACACTCACGACTCCAGGCCCCGTAGGGTAGGCCTGGCCGTTGCGAATGTTAGGAGCTACGACACACCTACTGTAGGGCCTTTCTTGATGGGGCCGCTCCCTGGGCCCTCTCAGAGTGTTCCTAGAGGCGAGCTTCTGGCGTTTCTCTGGGCTCTTAGATTCTCTGTAGGTGATATCGTTTACGTTACTGACTGTGCTGAAGTGGCTAGGGGGTGGTACTCTGAGCTTTTTCGTCGTCCCGAGGGGCCGCAAGCCGACCTTTGGAGAGAGGTCGGCAAGCTCCTTTTGCGACAGGCTCGGCACCCCGCCAGTATAATCATCATGCAGGTGCCCTCGCACCTCAGCCCGCGGGAGTACCTCGCTCGTGGGATACCGAGTTGGCTTGTGATTGGCAATGCTTGCGTCGACGTCCTTGCTGGAGAATCGGCCGCGCACGCGCGGATTTCCCAGGCCAGTCGTCATCGTGTCATGTCCATCGAATACAAAGCCTTGTTAGTGCGGGGGAGGCTTTTGCGTGTAGGGTTGGATTCTATCAAGGCCGCCCAGGCGTCGGGGGAAGCTGGGGCCACAGCTCGGGCTGGCCCGCCTCCCCCTCCTCCTCCTCCTCCTCCTCCTCCTATCGCCATTGCACGCTTCGCGTCTGCCCACTCCCTGACCGAAAGTGGTAGGGCGTGTAGTGTGTGTAGGGGCTCCTCGACCAAAGCGGTGTTAGCGGAATGGTTAAAAAGTGAATGCTTCCAACTCCAGCATGTGAATAGTCAGATCGCTCGTGTTCCAAGAGGACGGCGTTTACACTTGGCTGGGGGTTGGACCCATCCCACTCATGCTTTGATTTATCATAAAGACCTTCAGTTGTGGTATTGCGGCACATGCGGTTTTTACGGTCAAGCCCAGCTCAGGGGGCTAGCGGAACCGTGCAAATTACCCATTTCGAAGGCCAGGCGCGAATATCTCGACAGGATTGAGCGCGGCCTGCCTCCCAAATGCAAGAGCTGAGCATCAAGCCTAGTTTTCACTACGTGAAGGCGGAAATCCTGGAAATCCTCCCCCTCCTCCTCCACCCCCTCGCTCAAGGCATCCTCGCAATCGGTTTTGAAATCACCGACGGCCAAGTCACCAGACGGGGCGAGTCGCCTGAGACATCTCCACAACCCTGGCGCGAACGGGCGGATCGCATACCCTTGGCGGCTCCTTTTCGGGGTGCTGAACCAGCGCCTCGCTCGAGATATCCTCACTGATTTTTTTCTAAGACGCAGAACCAAGCCACCAAACAGGCAAACCGCTTGAGGCATCCCACCACCTGGACGCGAGCGGGCAAGTGCCCTCGCCCCTGGCGGCTCCCCCAAAACAGGCAAAACGCGTGAGACATCCCAACACATTGGGCGCGAACGGGCAAATGTCCACAACCCTGGCGGCTCCTCCTTGGGGTGCTCAAATGCCACGCCTGCTACATCGCGATGAGCATGAGGCTCTGACGATGGGGAGCAGTCCAACCAGCCAAACAGGCAAAACACCTGAGACATCCCCACCAACAGGACGCGAACTGGCAAATGTCCCGACACCTTGCGGCTCCTCCCCAGGGTGTTCAAATGCCACGCCTGCTGCATCGCGATGAGCATGGGGCTCTGACGATAGGGAAAAGTCCAACCAGCCAAACAGGCAAAAGGCTTGAGACATCCCCACCAAGTGGACGCGAATGGGCAGATGTCCCGACACCTGGCGGCTCCTCCTTGGAGTGGTTAAACGCCGCGCCTGCTTCATCGCGATGAGCTTGGAACTCTGGCATTAGGGATAAGAGGAATCAACCAAACAGGCAAACGCCTGGGATACTCCCACCATCTGGGCGCGAAAGGGCAAATGTCCCCAGCCCAAGCGCCCCCTCCTTGGTTTGCTCAAATGCCACGCCTGCTACATCGCGATGGGCGTGGGGTTCTGACGAGAGAGAAGTCCAATCAACCAAACGGCAAACCGCCTGAGACATCCCCACTATCTGGGCGTGAACGGGCAAATCTCCCTACCCATGGCGGTCCTCCTTGGGGTTGTGAAATACAACGCCTGCTACATCGCGATCAGCATGGGGCTCTCTCTGACCGCATGAGCGATGCGTGTACGAGTCCAAATGTGATTTGAGCGAGTCTGAGTGTGTGCGAGTCTGAGTATGAGCTGGTCTGGGGGAGAGTAAGTCTGAGTATCGGAGGTTGGGGGGTGAGATCGCAGTGAAACGGAGACCCCCCACCGCGAAATCGGTTTCGGTTTCGTGTTCGTGTCGTGCGTGCGGGTGAGGAGAAGCTACGCGTGCTCCTCCTGTAGCTTGGCCGAAGTAGGAGCGAAAGTCCGCTCCCGTCCGCCGGTGGCTGGGAGGTGTCCCAGTTGGGCCGGGCGGTGTCCCGGGTGTCTCGGGTGTCAGTAGGAGCGAATTTCCGTTTCCCGTCCGCCGGTGGCCGGGAGGTGTCCCAGTTGGGCCAGGCGGTGTTCTGGGTGTCCCGGGTGTCCCGGGCGTCCCGGCGCTAACGCATGTCGCTAATTTCATAATTCATTGTTTTCGGCGCCTGCGGCGGGCTTTCTTATCCAATGCAGCTTATCTTATCCAATCCATCTTGTCCCATCCAATCCATCTTTTCTTATCCAACCCATATTGTCCTATCTTACCTTATCCCACCCAATCCAATCCACCCAACCCAATCCATCAATTCATTCCCTACCTAGGCTCTGCCTAGAAGGGTTCGTACCCTGTATGCTTAAAGGGCCGGGCAGTGCTTCCCGCCCCGGCCGGTTCCCCCAGGATCCGCCCCGCGGTTCCCCCAGTGACGTTCCCTTAGTTTAGCGTTGCTTATCTCATCTTAGCTTAGCTTATGTCATCTTAGCTTAGCTTAGCTTCATCTTAGCTCAGGTTTATATTAGCTTAGTTTACCTTCATCTTAGCTTCGCTGAGCTTTAGCATAGCAGAGCACAGCATAGCACGGGTGTAATTCCCTACCTAGGCTCTGCCTAGAGGGTTAGCTTAGTTTAGCTTAGCTTAGCCTAGCATAGCGCAGCACTGCATTAGCATAACATAGCATAGCATAACATAGCCAAGCATAGCATAGCATATCATAGCGCAGCATAGCATAGCATAGCGCAGCATAGCATAGCATAGCATAGCATATCATAGCATAGCGCAGCTTAGCATAGCACAGCGCAGCTTGGCATACCATAACATAGCATAGCATAACATAGCCATACCTTCCCCCCCCCCCTCGCGTGTCAATTCTTTCGTCGTTGGCGTCCCCCCCCCCCTTGCAGAGCGAAGCTTGAGCAAGCCCCCCCCCTCTCTCCTTCCCCCCCCCCTCGCGTGTCAATTCTTTCGTCGTTGGCGACCCCCCCCCCCTTGCAGAGCGAAGCTTGAACGAGCCCGCCCCCCTCTCTCATTTCCCCCCCCCCCCCCTCGCGTGTCAATTCTTTTGTCGGTTTTCGTCGTTTGCGTCCCCCCCCTTGCAGAGCGAAGCTTGAGAGAGCTCAAGCCCACGCTCTCAGAAACTCACACGTTGGATCGGCGGATGTTATCCAACCCATCTTGTCCCAGATAGAGAGAGGGAGAGGAAACAAAAAAAAGAGAAAGAGAAAGAGTAAGAGAGAGACAGAGAGAAAGAGAGAGATGAGGTCAAGGTGACAGGCTGGAGGTCAGTCAGGGTGGGCATTTGATCTGAATCCCCCCACCTCCTTATCGCCCGCAGGGCGGTCGTATAGGTATGTGAATATGAGTGCGAGTGAGTCTGAATGTGAGCGTGTCTGAGCGCCAGTGGGTCCAAGTGTGAGCGCATCTGAGGTTGAGTGGGTCTGAGTACGAGTGATCTGTGTGCAAAGGAGACGGAGGCGGGAGGCGAAGAAATGGAGGCGCCCCAGTAATGACAGGATTCATACAGGCAGGATGTTGGGAAGAGAGTTGCCTTTTCGTTTATAGCCCCCGCCAGTTTCTTGTCTGTGGGTGTTCACTCGAGGGTCCAGGCGCCCTCACGCGCCCTACTGGCATCGAGCCGAGGCCCCCTCAGCACACGTCGGGCGCTGTCAGGTCGGAGGTAATTTGTTCGATGATCTAGAACTGCTGGGGCCGGTGGGGTACTTACTCTTTGATTTCGGGCACCGAACAACCAAACATTGTCATCAGCATCATCATGATCATCACCACCACCAGCAATATCAGCATCATCATTACCATCACCATCTTCTTCGGCATTACCTTCATGATGGTAATCATGAAAGCCCCCTCCACCACATCAAACTCCACATCCTCCGTCCCGCCTACTGACAGGTCCGCGTCCAAGGCTTGTATGCCAGGCAACATGGGCGGCGTGCTCTTGGAATTGGTAGCGGCGGGCGGTGCCGCCACTAGGCTTGGAGACCAGTGGGCTCCATCCGAGCGCTTATATGTTTGCATGAGTCTACCTGTTTCGCTCTGGTGCTGCGGGGCGAGCGCGTGCTGAACAAAAAATGTGAAGCACTGCCGAAGTGGCCAGCATGCCTTGTCTATTTGTCTCCTCGGCCCAAGATGACCCGAACCGTTTCCGATTGGGCCTTCTTGAGACCCTCTTGGGGTCCTTCTGGGACGTTCGTGGCACACTTTTTGGGGGGGGCTTTGTGGCTGTTTGGGGGATATCCTAGGCCCTTCTTGAACACCTAGTGAGCGATATTGGAGTAATCCAGAGGCCTCTGACGCCCAACGGAAGCAAAAAGGCGAGAAGGCAAACAGCACGCACAAGCCATTGGTTTTAGAAAGATATTGACATATCGGGGTTATCTCTTGATGGTTCGGTGGCCACTTGGAGTCGTCCTGGGCCTTTGGGGAGGCATGTTGGAGGCCATCTTAGACCATTAGCTACCTGGGCCAGACTGGAACCATATGTTGGGCTGTCTGGGGCCAATGGCCCTAGACAGCCCGGGGCTACCCGGGGCAGACAGCCCCAGGCTGTTTGGGAACCGTTTTGGGCCAGGAAGGGGAGTGAGAGAGGTCAAGGTCCCCATGAGAACGCCGCAATCTGTCTCGCTCACTCCCGCCCGCCCGCCCTCACATCACATAGGTGGGACGCGACACCCAGCAAAGGCGGAGGTCACCATCGGAAGGGTACTCCAGATTTCGTAATAAAGGGAGGGGGGTCTCATTTCGGGGGGGGCCTCTTCCAGGCTATCTTGGAGGGCCTGGGGGGGTCTGGGGACGATGTTTGGGAGGGTTCTCCCACGGGGGGGGTCTGAAATGGCTTGTCTTGGAGGGTCCAGACCCCCTCCCTTTTATTACGAGATCTGGAGTAGCCGTCGGGAGGCAGTACAGGCGCGGGGTGCTCGACCTTCGAGAGGCGTGCCGCCCGCACCGGGTGGGCCAGGTGCCACGCGGGGCCAGGCGTGCCAGGCGCCCCTGGCGTGCCAGATGCGCCACGTTCTCCATGTGCGCCAGGTGTACCCATCGGTCGTTGAAAGTAGGTATTTTTGGATTCCCAGATTACAATCTACTTTCAGCGCCTTCCTACTTCAAGAGCCGAGTGGTTTTCCCTCTTCCTTCCTCTTCAGGAGGCGTGCGGAAACCCAATCTATTTCCAACGCCTTCCTACTGCATGTTTCTACCTACTTCTTCCGACCGATGGGTATGTCATGCTCCAGCCGCGCCAGGTGCGCCAGGTGCGCGACGCGCGTGACAGCACATGTCGGGCAATCGGTCGAAACATCCACGATCCGTGCCAAAAAGCACCGCGTGGTTGCGGAGGGGTGGTCAGCAGGGTGTATGGCGTGCGCACCCGCGTTCAGTTGTCATTGATTTTTAAATGGGCAGTAGGCCAACTCACAGCGGACAAAGATGATGCAAAGAAACCCCGCCATCCTTTGTCAAACACAACTGCAGCATGCCTGCGATATGCACATCCAGATTCGCCGTCACGTGCACCTTCTATTGTTTGTTGGCAAGGATGGCTGGATGTGCCCACATTGTTCCTGGTCGGGAGCCGAGCGAGTGGGGGAGGAAGTGTGTATGACCATGTCGATCCTACGCTTCATTAGCGAGAAGAAGATTCGAGCGGCACGCCGCAATTTCGGCGGCATTGGGATTACGCACGGCATGATCAATGGTGTGTATATTGATCCGGCGCAGGGGTATCCCTGAGAAGACGCGGGCTGTAGTTTGTTCGGTGTTCTCGCCCTCTTTGGGAGGCCGCGTCCTGCGATATGGAGCGGGAACGCCACTGCCAGCAGGTGAACTCGTCCCCCGGTGCCCTGTTCGAGGTTGATTGCCGAATGTCCATTCGATGCAACTCAGGAAGACAGATATCGGGCTGGGAGGATGGAGCTGAGAGAAATGTGGACATCATTACCCGTAGGCGGCCGAAGGTATCATGCATTGCAGCCGGAGGCTATTGCCCATACTCTTTATCCTCCCAACCCTTTCCTCCCATCACGAAGAGGGTTCCCCTCCAAAACACTAAGTGAAATTCGTGTTTGTTCGAAGCAGTGCGTCTTACAGTGGAGTCCCATGCCAAGAAACACCCTACTTGCCTCCAGGGTGCCCTGAGCTTCTTCGGTCCCGATGGTCTTGCCAAGGAAAGCGTGGCGCAACCCACACCAAAAATCAGTGGACGTCCTGGGGTCTCAGGGTTGGGTTTCTTGTGGAAGGTCTCTTGTGGTCGGGCCCCCACTGTGTGTGGGTCCTCCGTCTCCCTGGCCCCGCCTCGCGCGGGAGGCGCCCGCGGCGGCCTCCGCCGAGCGCGCGCCGCCGGGGCAGACCCGGCAGCTGCAGCCCGCGTCGCCGCCGCCGCGCCAGGCCCGCCAAGACGACGGCGACGACGACGACGGCGACGACGACGACGACGGCGACGGCGACGGCGACGGCGACGACGACGACGACGGCGACGACGGCGACGACGACGGCGACGACGACGGCGACGACGACGACGGCGACGACGACGACGACGACGACGACGGCGCCGAGCCGCAGCGTCGGGGGCCCCCGCGGGGTTCCTCGCGGGCGCACGAGCGGAAGCTCCGGGGCGGCGCGCCAATGCGTCGACTTCGGGGCTCGGAGGGTTCGGGAGGAGGGATTCTCCGAAGGGCTTAGGCGACCCCTCCTCCTCCTCCTCCTCCTCCTCCTCCTCCTCCTCCTCCTCCTCCTCTCCTCCTCCTCCTCCTCCTCCTCCTCCTCCTCCTCCTCCTCCCCCTCCCCCTCCTCCTCCTCCTCCTCCTCCTCCTCCTCCTCCTCCTCCTCCTCGGGTCGCCCACGGCCCCGGGGGAAACCGTGCGGGTTCAGGGCTCGGGTTCGGGCGTCGGGCGTCGGGGCCGGGGTCTCGGGCCAGGGGTTCCGGTTCGTCGGGCTCGGGACTCGGCTCCTCCGGTGTGCGGGCTCAGGCTCGGGACTCGGGGGGCTCGCGCCCGGGGTTCCGGTTCGTCGGGGTGTATTCCACCGCCTGGGCCTCGCCGAGAGCGTTCTGGGTGGCTCCTGGATCGTCCCGAGCGGTCGCCGGAGAGCCGAGTCGGGCGTCCTCAAGGGGGCAGGCGGGGAGGCCTTCTCAAGAGGCGGTGGGGCTGCTCAGAAGCGCCCCAGCCTTCCGAGAAGCCCTCCGCGGCCGCGGCTTCGGAGAAGGCTTGAGGCGTGTCTCAGAGGACGGGAGGTCTTCGGAACCCTCTGGGAAGGCCCTCCGCAGCTGCCTTCCTCCCCGGGAGCGCCGCCGAAGGTTCGGGTCTAGAAAGTTGCAGAGGTCAGGAGCGAAAGAAGGACGTACACGTACATGAATCCACGCTGATTTCGGGAGCACGCATTGCTCGAATTGTCGCACCACGCGGCCGGTCTCGCAGATCGAGGGGCCGTGTTCATGTACATTGTTTAACGCGTACGTTTTTTGTGGGTTCCCTAATATCGGTGTCGTTTAACCGATCCCCATCCCCATCCCCATCCCCTTCGAGACCCCCACCAAATTACCACCCCAGTTGGGGATACACCCCTCGAAACCCGAAGTGAACGACCTATATCCCCATCTGGGGGGGGGGGGGGGCAAATCGGCCAGTGGGGCCCAGGCCACGCCGCTGGGGATGGGGATCGGTTAATCGATACTCATCGTAGACGTAAACTTCTGGATGCCCGCGCGGATTTTGCTTGGGGGATCGGCGATGGAGCCTCCAAGAGACGCCTCTGGCGCCGCCACCGCGAGCGCGCTGCGCGCGCCGGGGGGAGGCGGGTGGGGCCCAACGCCGACCTGAGATTATGTCGGGCGTGTCCCTCTACAGGAGGAAGATTCAACAATAATAATATTTTTAGAAAAGTATAGGGGGCGATTTGTTGTCATCTTTGAACATTTGTTGCATACTTGTTCTTTAAATTTTTCGTCCAGAATCTGCCTGTGGGGGGACAGGCCCGCTTTAAACCTATGTAAGAGATCCGCGCGGGCCGCCAAAAGTATATGCTTGTGTGGTCGCTCCTCTGCCGCTCCGGCCTGCTCTTCGCGGAACTCTTCCGCATCTGAGCGTTTTTCCCCCACCTCCCCCCCGCGCCCTTGCTCTCGTCCCTTTCCTCTTGCACTCCGGTCGATTCGCGTGTCGGTTGCCCCAATTAGCCTCACGCCTGGTGCGGACTACCTCTGCCTCGCCGCCGACGGACAAAGTGGTTGCTCCTCTGTAGATGCCAGGATAGTGAGCACGTGATCAGTAAGAGGCATGGTCGTGGGCCGTTCTTAGATCTGGGCCGAGGGGCCAGGTCGTGGCCGAGGCTCGCCGTGGCCAGAGATGCTCATTGTTTCCTTGCCTGGCGCTCTTCGTGGTAAGAAGATCGCTGCACATGTCATTGAATTGATCGCAGGATCACACATGCATGCGTAATGTTACATAGCTGGCTAGCTGGCGAGTTTGACAGGTAGCAACAAGTTGGCAGTAAGTAGCAGGCAGGGGAGAGCGCATGATTCAGCGAGACACGGGATAGGTTCCTTCATTGGGAAACCGTGAGCGAGCACATGTTATGCATATGGTAACTATACCCGGTATCCGGGTATACGTGAGATAGTTATGTCGATAGGTAGACAAACGTGTGTATATACATGTGTGTTTTGCTAAATAGTTATGCAAGGTAGTAGATCGATCGTTCGAGTGGTGGAGAACCAGAATGAAATACGAAAGAGGGAAGAGGATGGAGGACGGGGCAGGAAACGGAAGGGGTAAGGCGGTCCGATGACGAAGGAGGCAGGCATTGAGATGTAGAAGGACGGGCAGAAGAGGAATGAGGAGGGCGGGACAAGAGAATAAATCGGAGAAGATGGAGAGATGCAGTCAGACAGATGGTTAGTCTAGTTTGTGGTAGCTATCTATTTGAGATGGCAGATCGGGAAGAATAGGCAGCAGTTCGGAGGCTGGGGGGAGGAGCACGAAGCGAACCCAACTCGGAAATCGGTTTCGGTTTCCAGTCGCGTCGAGCGTGCGGGCGAGGCGAGGCTGCACGAGGGCGGCGATGTGCGAGAGGCGAAGCTGCGCTGGGGCCATGGGGCGGGCAGAACCCCCCGGTGCAAGTATCTCGCGACTAGGGTGCGGGGTTGTCCCGGGGGTTGTCCTGTCGTTGTCCCGTGCGTCGTTCAAGAGGTTACCCCGTGGTTGCTTCGTGGTTGCCCCGTGGATGCCTCGTGGTTATCTCCAGGATTGTTCCTCGGGTTGTCCCGTGGGTTGTCCTGTGGGCCGTCCTGGTGTTGTCGCATGGTTTGTCCCGTAGTTCCCCTCTGGACTAATCAATGCAACATTCAATCCAAACCGGAGTGGCATGAAAAGGTAAGTACGAATTCAATCCGAAATCAAATCGGAATGCGTATCGATATCATAATGGCATGTAGTCCCAATGCACATCGAACTGCACCTTGAAGTACAAGCCGAAATGCAATTCCGCATGTAAGTCGACATGTAAGCCTATGTGCAAACTTGAAATCTCATCGACATCCAGATATGAACGCTAGTCGATGTATAATTCAAAATGAGCATCACATTGTACGTCGAAGTGCATCTCGGAATTCAAATCTGAGTACACGTCGAAGTGTAAATCCGATTGGCTTGAACTGCCGAGCGAAACGAAGTCCTCGCCCCGCCCCCCCTGGGAAACAAACAAGCATCTGCTCATCACCCGAAGGTTGGCCTCAGAGGCATGTCATTCTTTTGTCCAGTCTTCCTGATGGTCTCCCTTCTCCTCCTCCTCCTCCTCCTCCTCCTTCCTCCTTACTCCTTACTCCTTCCTCCTTCCTCCTTCCTCCTTCCTCCTCCTCCTCCTCCTCCTCCCTCCTCCTCCTCCCCCTCCTCCTCCTCCTCCTCCTTCTCCTCCCGCTCCTCCTCCTCCCCCTCCTCCTCATCCTCCTCCTCCTCCTCTTCCTCCTCCTTCGCCTCTTCCCCCTCCTCCTCCTCCTCCTCTTGCCCGGGCCAGATGTCGTCGCCGACCATCGACGCGCCGACCAATGACGCGTCCGCTCTGGAGCGGCCCGCGAGCGCCAAGGACCAGGCCAGCTGCCAGGCAGGGGAAGCAGAGGCGGAGGAGGAAGAGGAGGAGGAGGAGGAGGAGGAGGAGGAGGGGGAGGACGGAGGATGTGGAGGAGAAGGAGGAGGAGGAAGAGGAGGAGGAGGAGGAGGAGGACGACGACGAGGAGGAGGAGGAGGAGAGGAAGAGGAGGAGGAGGAGTTGAACTGGCGGAGGAGGAGGAGGAGGAGCAAGCGAAGGAGGGGGAGGAGGGGGAGAGGAGGAGGAGGAGGAGGAGGAGGAGGAGGAGGAGGAGGAGGAGGAGGAGGGGGAGGGGGGGGGAGGACGGAGGAGGTGGAGGAGAAGGAGGAGGAGGAAGAGGAGGAGGAGTAGGACGACGACGAGGAGGAGGAGGAGGAGGAGGAGGAGTTGAACTGGCGGAGGAGGAGGGAGGATGAGCAACGAGGAGGAGGAGGAGGAGGAGGGAGGAGGAGGAGGAGGAGGAGGGAGGGAGGAGGAGGAGGATGAGGAGGAGGAGGATGAGGAGAGGAGGAAGGAGGAAGGAGGAAGGAGGAAGGAGGAAGGAGGAGGAGGAAGAGGAGGAGGATGAGAAGGAGGAGGAGGAAGAGGAGGAGGAGGAGGCGGAGGAGAAGGAGTAGGACGAGGAGGAGGGCCTGCTGGGCCGTGTCGCCGTGGGCCTGCTGAAGCTAGTGGGCACGACCGGCCGAGGCGCTTCCGCCCTCGTGGGCGATGGGCTTCCGCCCTGTCGAAGAAGAAACAACTGCATAAACACAACAAACTTTTGACGCCTGGGCGGATTTCTTGGATCGGCGACTGAGCCCCCCTGGCGGCGCCCCTGGCGCGCTCCGCGCGCCAGAGGGGGGCACGGCGCGGATCCAAGAAATCCGCGCGGAGCGCCAACAGTTTCTGTTTATGCCGCTCTTCTTCTTCAAGGTTGTGCCCCCTCTGACGCTTCGGGCCCCAGAGGCCCCAGCAGCTTGCCTCGAGAAAGAGGAGGGCCTCCGGGGCCAGGAGGGGTAGCTTATCTTCGGTCCGACGGGGGCGAGGAGGGGGCTCCCCTCCTCGCCCTCGTCCTCCTCGTGCTCCTCGTTCTCCTCGTCATCCTCGTCCTCGTCCTCGTCCTCCTCGTGCTCCTCGTCCTCCTTCTCCTCGTCCTCCTCGTCCTCCTCCTCCTCCTCCTCCTCCTCCCCCGCCTCCTCCTCCTCCTCCTCCTCCTCCTCCTTTCCTCCTCCTCCTCCTCGTCCTCGTCCTGGGGCCTCCTCGTCCTTTTCCTCCTCCTCCTTCTCCTCTTCCTCCTCCTCCTCCTCCTCCTCCTCCTCCTCCTCCTCCTCCCCCTCCTCCTCCTCCTCCTTCTCCTCCTCCTCCTCCTCCTCGTCTTTTCCGTAGCCATTTTGGCTCAAGCCGTTCTGGCACAATTCATTTTTGTGCATGCGATCACCGATCTTCAGAACGGCTGGGTGTTCGCGGGCCAGAGTGGCTCGGATTCCCTTTCCTCTCACGGCGGCGCTGCGATGGCTCCTGGTGGCAAGCCTCGTAGCGGCTACGACGCCACCAAGAAGTGGACTTGCGGGCACTGCGGATGCCGCAAGAACTTGGGGCACTACATGTGGTGCAAACATTGCGGTAAGAAGTGGACTGAGCCCGTGCCAGGTGACGGTCAGGCCAGAGGAGGAGGCGTCCCCCGAGGAGCGGCTGCTGCTGAAGTTCGTCGTGCTGCAGCAGACGCAGTGTCGGGAAGGCCTCCACCCGCGCGGCCGGCTACCGCCCCGACTGCGACCAAGTCTGAGTTGCAGCAGCTGGCGGAGCTCAGCGCCAAGGTGGGGGACGCGTCCCTGCTCTCCTTGGCGCAAGAGAAGGTGGCCCAGTTGGCGCAAGCCCCTCTGCCCCCGCAGCAACGGGCGGACGCGGCCTTCAAAGAGATCCAGCGACTCGAGAAGAAGTTGGATCGCGATCTGGACCACGTCCACGGCCTTGAACGGAAGTTGGCTCAGCAGCGCGCGGACTTGGAGGTCACGTTGCAGGAGCTTGAGCGATACGATGAGGAGTACAAGTCTGCCATCTCAAAGCTGCACCTGTCTGTCACGGTCCAGCCGTCTCAGCCACAGGAGGCCCCAGTCGCCCCAGTGCTGCGCCTGCAGGACATCCTGGGTGGCAAGTTGTCCTCGTTCGTGCTTGACGACGGCGACATGTTTGGGTTGGCGGAGCTTCAGGACGTTACCCCAGAAGACCTACGTGAAGCCCAGTCTCGGAAGGAGCAGTTGTCAGAGCGTATCACTACCCTCACGACGGCCCTGTTCGGGGAGGTTCAGTCTAAGTGCGTCGATCTTAAGAAGAACCACCAGGAGCAGGCCAAGCGGCTCGAGAAGAAGCGGAAGACGGATGCCGAACCTGCTGCTGCTGGTGCACCTGCAGGAGACGCTGCTGCCGCCTCTGAGGCATCGGGAGCGTCGGCCTCGGCTGCTGGAAGCAAGGCCGCCCCTGCGCCGCCTGTTGCCCCAGGCGCCCCGCCTTCTAAGCCTGGCGCCTCTGTCCGCGCCCAGGCTCGCGAGGCGATCAGCAGGGCACCGAACAAGGCGCCCCCCGCGGTCCCAGACGGGAAGGCGCCGCCACCAGCGGGCCCCCCAGCCAAGGGGGCGGCTCGTTCCTAGCCAGACCTGTGCCGAGCCATCACCTTTCTCCTACCCTAGACTCCCTACCTCCTGCCCAGTTTTGGATGCCCCACGGAATGCGTGTCTGCATCGCCCTTGGGACCATGGAGATTTTGTTGCTGCTAATGAGTCTATTGAGCTGGAGATAGTGACGGCTAACGGCACGGCTTGGAGCTCGCTCCAACAGTTTTTGGGAATTACCTCGGCCCACATCGTGCTCGTCCAGGAGCACAAGCTCATAAGCGCTGAGGACATCAGGAAGGCTTCGGCCTGGTGTGTGCGAAACGGGTGGAAAGCCAGCTTCGAACCTGGAACCCTGGGGCCTGGGGGGGGCCCTTCGGCTGGGGTCGGGGTCCTGGTTAGGTCCTTCCTCGGGTTGCACCACCCCGATATTGGCCCCACGATTCGGCCCCGCAGGGCCCTCGGAGCTGTCGTCCACCTCCCAGGTCAGACCTCTTTCTACGTTGTTAGTGTCTACCTGCAGGATTGTGTTGGACTTAGCGATTTCAATCAGGATATCCTTGCTGGCGTAGCGGCGCGAGCAAAGAGCATGTCTGTGCCGTTCCTTGCCGGTGCCGACTTCAACTTGGAGCCCGCCGTGCTAGCAGGCTCGGCGATTCACAGAAGGATGGGTGCTGACATTGTGTACCCCCCTGGTGTCGAGGGCACCTGTCGCAGCACTGGGGGGCGTGAAGATGTTCGATTTCTTCCTTTGTTGCTCCCGCCTGGCGCAGGCGATTAAAGGCGTGAAGATAGTGAGCGATTCGGAGTTAGCGACGCATGACCCTGTCTCCCTCACCTTCCACCCCTCCCTTGCGTCTCTCAAAGCTTTGACCTTCCGACGCCCCCCACCCTTGCCCACTAGCCGGCCCGCGGGACCTTGCCCTGAGCCCCCCATCCGAATGGGGAGTTTTGGATCGGTTGGCCTCCCGAGCCCTGGCTGTGGCCGAGAGTGGGGAGACTGATGTTACCCAGTATCATCTGGACACCATCTACAAACATTGGGCCAACACGGCTGAAAAGGAGCTCGAAGGAGTGTTTCAGCGCCGCCTTTCGCACCACGGCAGTCGTGGGCGCCAGGCGGAGTTGCACTGGGTCAGCGCGCTGCAGCCGAGTTCGGCCTCGATGGAAGGTATTTCGTCGATCGGCAGCTTGCTTCGCAGCTCCGCTGGCTCAGCAATCGATATCGGCTTTGGATGCAGCTGTACGCCTTAGGAGCGTCGACGGCTGCGCCCGAGCCCTCCTCCTCCCCGCGTTTTGCTCGTAGCAGTTTTATCGAAACGACAGTGCCAGGACGCGCCGAGCACAGCTCGGCACGCAGCAGCCATCTGTGTGCCACGGCTGCTGAGCTTTTCAATCCCCCTGCTAGGCTGGGAGAGTGGAGCGGCCACGCGGCCGCGCTACTTCAGCGTTGCAGGGATGTCGTCACCCACAGCCCTCCTGGTCAGTCCGTCGTCTCTGGGAACCTGAGCATGCCCTGGATGCGGTCTCCCAGGCCCAAGCTGTGGCCGAGAGCGAACATCGCAATGCTGAGAATCGTAAGTGGGTGTCATGGCTTAAGACCAATATTGAGTCTGGGGCTCGGCGCGCCCATGGGGTGGTTCGGGGGGGCCCTGCTTGGACCCCCACCACTACCCTCAGCGTCAAAGGCGAAGTTGTTTCGGACCCACAGGCCCTCCTTGAGTCTGAATGTGCTAAGTTTTCTGATCTTTGGCATGCCGAAGACCAGCAGGCCCCCCCGGCGACAGGTGCCCGCTTTGAGGTGCTCGAGCCCCTGCCCGAGTTGACCCCAGCCGACCTTCGTCGTGTCTCTAGGTCTTTCCCGAAGCACACGGCCTCCTCTGTCGACGGCTTTCATGTCAGCCACTTCCAGCACCTCTCGGATCAGGCCCTTGTCGCCCTCTCTCGCCTCATCGCGACGTTCGAGAAGTCAGGGCACTTGCCAATGCAGATGCGCGCGCTGCTGCTCATCATGCTTGCCAAGCCCGACGGTGGTCACAGACCGATCGGATTATTCGTGTCAGTGTATCGTCTCCGGGCCCGCGCTCGTCGCGAGTATGCTCGCAGGTGGGAAGCGGCTAACAGCAGGGACTTCTTCGCCGCGGGCTCCTTTGCCTCGAGCGTGGACACCGCCTGGCGGCAATGCGTACGAAGTGAGAAAGCTGTTTCTTCCGATTTATGCTCCAGTTCGGTTCTTTGGGACCTTCTCAAGTTTTATGAATCGGTCGACTTGGATCTGCTCTTGCAGCGTTGCCGCCAGCACGGTTTCCCCATGCAGATTGCGAGAGCATGCGATGTTGCGTACCGCGCCTGCCGCTACATCGCCATGAACAGCAGGGTCATCGGGCCCAAGTTCGCATGGCGAGGTCTTGTGGC